GAACCTTTCACCTTCAGAAACTACGACAAATAGAGATGAGTCCTCAAATCACAACGAAACCAGAGACTACTATCTACAAAACTGTTTAAACCATCAAATTTGGTTAGGCTCCTATGCTAGGCTCTTTCAGAGTTACTACTGGATCTATTATATTTGTACGGAAGAATATGAAGCAGAAGAGACTAGTAGGTATGGAGAAAGTTATGTATATATACAAGTACCAAAAAGTTTTTATTCTATGCTTCTATGAACCATATTCAATCTCTTTGTTCATTCATGCTTGAGATCTCTCAAACTACTAGAAAATTTCATTGAATTGTACTTGGCATAACACGTACACGGAATTGTATCTATAAGAATTGCATTAAAACATGTATATAACTACTGTCTATAGCTATGTTCAAGGTCAGATATACCAGAGTTTGACAAGAAAACCTGAGTGTAGTCACTATCGATAATATAATCGCAGGAACAAAAGAGTAAATTTGAAACTACTGATGGTTTCATAGAAAGCCAGAATGCTATCTTGGGGACTAATGACAAGTCTTCATATCAGATGTGTGAAAAATGCTCATGTGATCAGACAGAGAGTTCAAGTAAGGAAATATTATACCACAAGGACTCGTGAACAAGAGAAGCTCCATCAAAAGATGTATATATGTTCACAGGTGGGGAACAAGATCAAGATGCAACCTGGTAAACAAATTTACATCATAGAGGAAGATTAATGATCCAAATAAGGTCTTGAAAATGTAATCTAGCATTATTAACCATTGGCGTTACCGGTAAATAGTGGCTTGCTTTGCTTAATTCTCCATCTACTTTATTGGAGTATATAACCTGTGTATAGTTTAAGAAGATGCAAAAACGCATGAGAATCAGGAACGGTAAAAAAAAAACTCCCAAATTACAATCTCAAACTCTAATAATGTATGAAGAAATGCCAAATTATGGATCGACACTAACCCAGTTTCTGAGTGCGTTCTCTATACACATTCAGATTGTTGGCAAAATCTTTTACACCAAAATTCCTCCAAAGCAAAACCTACGATTCTAGGAAAATTCAAATGATCGATCAATCATCTATCTCTTTTGACCATGGACAAAATCACTGTAATTAGGCAGACTAATCTTCTACTAAGGGGGGAAATTATGTGAAGACACGAATCGGTAGTAGTAGCTTACGAGGAGAAACTGAGAGATTTCGCGGCTATTCACAATCGATTTTCGTTCAGATTTCCAAGTATTGTTTCTAGGAATTCAACATCGAGAGGTTAATTTTGAAATACCCTCGCGAGGGAATATTTAGGATTTAAGAGATAAATCGTTGTCAACTTCATCGTAAGACTTTTCTCCTCATGGCTTGACAAACGATGGCTCATGAGGAGAAAAGTCTTACGATGAAGTTGACAACGATTTATCTTTTGAATCGTAATTAAATTTTATTTACAAAACAAAATCAGAACATTTCATGTTCTAACATCGGATATTCTTTCTAATAGTCCGTATGTTTAATTACAATTTTAGGATTTTAGTTCAACTACTGCACGTTTAAGGATTTAGATATATATTTCGTCACAAGGTGCAACATCATGGTACAGGATCGATCGTAGGTTTCAATTAAGAAAAAATGAATGGAGAAGAAAACTCCACAAAAAATATCTGGTGGAGAATTTGAGAAAGTATGTAACCTATAACTTGGTTAAGATCTTATCTTCTTGACCAAGTCAAACTAGCCGCCCATAATGAACAATGTAGCCTGGAAACCAGCCACTGATCAGCATATGCACTGTTTATGAAGGGTCAAGATTTTAATGTTATCTTCAATAATTAGGTATTTGTGTGTAAATATTGTCTACAAGGAGACGTTATGTGTTTGATTTGTGGGGTTGCCACGTTCTTCTACGATTGCACAAGTAAAGACTAACTCACCCATCATTTCACTATAAATAGAGGTTGATCTTAGGCTTATTTCCTCACTAATATATACACATATAAAACATAAATTGAAAAAAAAGTAATATACATCATGGCTAAGTTTGCTTCCATCATCACCTTCCTCTTCGCTGCTCTTGTTCTCTTTGCTGCTTTTGGTGAGTAGTGATCAATTATATATAATATGCATGCATGGCAAAATGTGTTTAAAATTTTGCTTTCATTTATTTTGATATTAATAACCTTGAGTTTTATATGAATACGCAGAAGCACCAGCGATGGTTGAAGCACAAGAGGTTGTGCGAGAAGCCAAGTGGGACATGGTCAGGCGTTTGTGGAAACAATAATGCATGCAAGAATCAGTGTATATATTAACCTTGAGGGAGCACGTCACGGATCTTGCAACTATGTCTTCCCTGCTCACAAGTGCATCTGCTACTTCCCATGTTAAACTACCCGAATGGTGATTAATTGTGTGTATTTTCATAAAATAAGTCTGTGTCACTCCATGAGCGAGTGACCTAATGACATGTATATTTGTGATTTAATGTTCGGTTTGGTTACAATATAAACTTTTATGTACGACGTATCTTCTTGTCCATAAAAAATGTTTATGGTCTGAAACCCGAGATCCGATACATGGTCTTACGCAGTGGTGAATCCAGAAACATATTTTACCGGGATCAAAATGT